TATATATATATATATATATATATATATATATATATATATATATATATATATATATATATATATATATAAACATGTACATCAGGCAGTCCCGTACACCGAACAGTCAATCACACTACTTCAGACAGCCATCAGTTAAAAATGACAGATCTCTAGCATGGAGTTCTGCGTATTTTTAACCCATATCTGATGCACTACCGCATACGAAGCAATTTCCCTCCGACCAGTGAGTACATTCATGTTTTGACTGGAACGTGGATAGCAGTGAGATGTTTTGAGGACAGCCTGTTTGACGTGACTGACATAACCAATCAGCAATGCATCAGGGCTTAATTCCATCTATAAAGAAAACTGACTATCAGTAAAATTTTAACTACTGGTATCTACAGCAGTGAGACTCGGATTCGTATTTAACCCATGCTTACTTGTGAATAGTTGTGCGGATTAAGTTATGTTGATGTGGACTGAACATCTTTTAGACTTCATCCTCAAACAGAATGCTCAGTTTGCCAAGTCAACTATACGATTCCGGAAGCATTGGATTCAAGTTTTGCTCTCCTTAGAGTTCATCCGTAATGTATACCCAAATTTTAGTCCGGTCTTTAAACTCCGGAGCCATTGCATAAAAAATGCATGCGTCATCACTGTGCTAATCAGCTCACAGCTGGATTGATCAGAATTGCCGATTCACGTTTGTTCAAATATCCCCTTCAATGACGGTCAGCCAATTACCTTGGCTTGACAGCGATGAAAGGGGACACAGTTGACTGTCTGCTAACTCCAATCGCAAGCCTCCCACCAAGTCAGGACCTTCACGAGGGTTCAGACAATTGGACTAGAATTCGACTCGAGCAGTTTGATAATCTGACCGTTTGGTGTACAGGACTCCCCAATATATATATAATCAAACCTAAATTCAAACTTTGCGCAAATAAATCTTAATAAAAATCTTTATAAAAAGATAAAATATTTCATGATGTACTCATAGATGAAATACTTCTAGGTTTTCCATGCCAAAGCAGGTGAACGTTCTTAAGAAATTTTCAACAAAAGCCCTCGATTAGTTAAAGTTTGACCCGCAAGGCAGTAGGGTAGTGTGTTAAAACCGCGGTCCGTGGGGGGGGGATCGGTGTCCGCTTCATCGGACAGCACATTATTTGGATGAGATCAATCTTCTAAGGTGCGTAACATCACCGGATGTCTAATTGAACTGGTGCCTACTGCCACAACCAGCAAGGTTTGTGTAGTTCTTAGGTCTCTTGAAATAAAGAATTTTAGCTAAATCCCTTCTGTAAACTGACGGTGGTTCAGCGATCCGGTTGTTGCCCCGGGATACCAACTTAATGTTTTCTAAATTTGGTCGAAAAAAGACAATTTCTTCATGAAAAGATAGTTTGTAGTGCTTCCAAAGTGGAGTTTATTTGAGACACTTGTTCAGGAAAAGGTAACCAGTCACAATTCAGAACACCCGTCCTTCTTCAGAGGTGGAAGTGTCGCATAAGAGGACGATCTTGCAAAACAAAACGCTGTGCTTCATTTTCTCTTTGCGCAAACAATCATTCAGCATTATTTTTTTGGATAGTTTTGGTTTTTCTATGAGGAAGGATTAAATGTTAGGTAAAACCCTGCAATAACTGTCAAGTTGAAGCCACTATGGGAAAGTAAAGTGGTAGGAAGTGATCATTGGTGATTCTACTGATTAAGTAAAATGACATAGATTGATTTGTGATAACCATAGAGAATGTAGATTAGTTACCGTGGCCTCGGGGCATCTCTCTATGATTAAATTTTGTCGACGCCTACGAAAGCCTTAGTATGGTCGGGGGTGGGTATCTTGGGTTGCGGCTGGTTACCCTTCCATTGTACCTCACGAAATGACGACCGAGCGTCTGAAATAGCTTCGGTTGAGCAAGTTTTACCTCCTGCCTTCTCGTGGCGCAGGTATTTCCACATCAAAGTGAGAGGGCGAAAAGCCAACATCTCGGGGCTATAACCGGCAGTTAATCTGGTGGAGTTGGCTAGAAATCCTAATTCCAAACCGATCAAAAAGAGGCACACATTCCACACACGCGCTTTCCCGTTTGTGGCAATGGGCACCGACCTAATGGGACATCAAGGTGAATTGAGCACTTTGGACGTTTGACCCCGTCCGAAGGGCGTATGTTCCGATGAACTGGAAACCGGCCCCCAATGGATTACGGTTTTCCCACATTCCCCTGCTTCCTTACGAGCCAGGCTTTGGTTAGACGAAGGCTTCGGTTATGAATCACCCAAGATAATTCACCTGCCTTGACTTAGGAAGCCTGACGTATTTTCCTAAAAGCAAATCACGGAACGTTTTACTTTTTATAAAGATTATTGCAGCGTGATTTGTTGGACAAAATCTGAAAGCAGACGTGTGTGAAATACAAAAATACATATTTTGTCGACTATCTGTCACAAGCTGACAATACGTCAATGAAAATCAGGTTGAATTTGGACTATTTCCAGCCTCATGTAACCTGATCCAGAAACCCAATTGTTACAGGGGTTGGTCTATAAGATGGTAGCAGTGGAACAGTGGTACCGGGAAAATTTGCTTACCATTGAGAGTTCTGTTAGGGTTAGATTGCAATTTTCAATTTGGTTACTATTTTCTGTGTGTGTGCGTTGGATGTTTCACCAAAACAATGTACAATGCGTGTAAGTTTTAGTACCATTCTATCCCGTTTGTGATAGAGTTTATATTCTCGTGTCCCACGTCAAAAATGGAGCAATAAAAAGTGAATTTGTAAAGTTATTTTAGCTTCCATTGTTCCCCGTCTCGAATTACTGGGATGTCCCATCGGAAGCTGCTAAATTTATACAAACCGGTTAATTATTCGTTAAATTCATTTCTATCGCGGATCGGCATCACAACACACCTGAGTGCCTATCGGGTTCTGGAAAACAGTCTAACCGCTAAGCATCCGCTCAATGAATCCATTTTTGACCGGTTGATTGCGGAGCGTAAACCAGCATACAAGGCAGTGGTGTTTGACAAAGACGGTACGCTCGTGTGCTTTCACTCTATGTGGATACCATGGGCACAACACATTGCACACAGGTAAGCGAATTCTTCTCATTCTTTTGTGTGTGATTATTGTAGGGTTTCTGAAGTATTTCTGAAGCAATCGAGATGGATCTGTCTGAGGAAATATTTGCCCTATTGGGAATTTGTTCGAAAACATTGCGAATTTTCCCGGGCCTTTTGGCCGAAGGTACAAAAGAACAGATCAGTGATGCGATTGCGCAACTTCTGGTCAAACATGGAGTGAATCCCGGATTGGCAAAGTCCGTTTCCAGTCGACATGTGAGCTACTGGGCTACAGCTCCGGAACATTTGAATGAATTGGATGATCTCAGTGATCTGTTCACTCTGTTACGTCAGCATGGAATTCTGATTGGCATTTGTACATCGGACAGTCGTGCGGGTAGGTCAAAATAAAATGGTCGATTTCTCACACCCATGCAAGAATCGAATTGTACACGTGATACTGCAAATATTATCGGGTTGATTGGTTAAGATATATAAAACGGAATTAGATAAATCCAATTTGAGTTAGTGCATTTGAATCTGTGAGTTCTTA